GGTGGCGAGCAGCCGCCGTGTCGTCCCCTCCCTGTCAGTGCCACTCCGGGCTTTAAGCCCTGAGCACAGGAGTTCCTCCTTAGGTCCCTCAGTGCTGGTGTCTTGGTGGATGGTGTCGTTTGGCCCCGTGTCCCCTCCCTGCTGTCCTCCATGCCTTACCGAGACCCAGGGGTGCACAGGGAGACCCGGAGAGCCCTGAAGAGAGGCTCATGGGGTATAGCCCAGTGCAGTGTCTGCCAGCAGAGCCTGGCATCGTATTCCTGGGGGGGTATCTGCCACTTGTGTCCCATTTCTTGCCATACTCCTGGGGGCTTCTGGCCTCACTCTGGTGGGTACACAGTGTGGCTTCCAGCAAAGGTCTGTGTGGGGTCTACCTCTGTAGGCTGAGTGGACACAGGGCTGGGGAGCAGGGCTTTGCCAAAGCCGGGGTCCCCGTGGGGCTGACAGTGCACAGACCCACCCACTTGGCTGCTCTCTGAGGATCTCTTGGGGCCCTGGCCCTGGAGACACCTTTGTGGCAATCGCAGAGCAAACGTGAAGTCTGCGTTTGAGCTCCTCGTGGTCCCGACCAGTACTCGGTTCTGGTGGTAGAGTGGGCGGCTTGCTGCCCTCAGGCCTCCCTGAGCCCCCCGGGGCTTCCTCCCCAGCCCGCCTGCTGGTTTGCCCCTGCTCTGACGCGTTACTCAACTGACGCAGCCCCACAGCAGGGGCTGCGGGAGAGCTGCTTCCCCAGCTGCCAGGCTGGCGTGGAAAGGAGGGTGGGCAGGCCAAAGGGGGTGCAGACGAGAAGCCAGGACGATGGGGTGGACAGCTTTCCCTTCGAGGGGTCCCAGGACGGCAGGGTAGATGGCTGCCCCGGCCCAGGTGCGCCCTGACCTTCTGCGCCCTCAGGACGTGGCCCGGCTCATCGTGGAGCGCTCCACCATCATGGCCCACCTGTTCTCCAAGCTCGCCCGCAGCTCGCAGTCCGACGCTGTCCTGGCCGCACTGCTCTCCGTCTTCTCCCGCTATGTGCGGCGCATGCGCAAGAGCAAGGAGGGCGAGGAGGGCTACAGCTGGGTGAGGGCAGGGCCGCGGGAGGGCGGGGCTACAGCTGGGTGAGGGCAGGGCTGCGGGGGGCGGGGCTACAGCTGGGGGAGGGGGGCCGCGGGAGGGCGGGGCTACAGCTGGGGAAGGGTGGGGTTGCAGGAGGGTGGGGTGGGTCCACAGCTGGGGGAGGACCGGGCTATAGCTGGGTGGGGTGCAGGAGGGTGGGGCGGGTCTGCAGCTGGGTGGGGGTGGGACTATAGCTGGGGGAGGTTGGAAGGGGGCCAGTGGAGGGTGGCTGAGGGGGCAAAGGTGGTAGGTGGCAGTGGGGGGCCAGCTGGGTCAGGTGGCAGTGGGCAGGTGGGAGGCTGTGCTGGTAGGCTTGGTAGGTGATAGCAGGAGGACAGTGGGGCAGGCAGGGGTGGCAGGTGGCCCTCGGTGGGGTTGAGCCCTGACCGTGGCCCCGTCCTGCAGTCAGAGTCCCAGGACCAGGTGTTCCTGCGCTGGGCCAGCGGGGAGGCTGCTACCATGCACATCCTGGTGGTGCACGCTATGGTGATCCTGCTGACGCTGGGACCGCCGCGAGGTGAGCATCACCAGGCTGTGCGGGGCGGGCGCAGGGGCCGCCTGTCCTCTGCAGGTGGGAGCCCTGGGGTCCTGCCGGATTTTCTTCTTGTGCCTGGTTGCCTCCAGCTCAGCGGGGTACAGGGTGTTCAGGGGAGGGGTGGGGGCTGGCCTTACAGGCAGCTGAGCCAGCTCAGGCCTTGGCCCCTTTTCCGTCTCACTGTGTCTGGGGCTGCTGCCCCCTCCAGGGCCTGGGACTAGGGGAGCTTACCTGTGCAGGGCACCTAGCCGCTAGGAGCCTCGTTTTCCCTGCGTCTGGTCTCTGGCTGCCCCTTGGCAGGCAGGACTTCCTGGGCTCTCAGGTAGTCAGTCTCGCGTCCTCTTTGGAAGCTGATGACAGTGAGTTCCGAGCCCTGTTGGACATCTGGTTTCCTGAAAAGAAGCCCCTGCCCACCGCCTTCTTGGTGGATACGTCGGAGGAGGCTCTGCTGCTACCGGACTGGCTGAAGCTTCGCATGATCCGATCTGAGGTGCCACGCCTGGTGGATGCTGGTACGTGGGCCCCAGCAGCTTGCCAGCTGCTGCAGAGGGAAGTGCACAGAGGCTGAATGGCCTCTGGGCCCCTGGTGGCTCCGGGCCATGCATTCTCGGCAGTCCTCAGGCCCTGGCCAGAGCTTGTCCTGCCTGCAGGGGGTTGGGTGTGGGCTGGAGAAGAAACCAGGCTGTGGGTACTAGAGAGAAAGCTGTCACTTAGCTGAGAGGGGCTGTTTCTTGAAGGGCAGAGGGACCTTGGACAAAGACAGGGGAGGGCCCCATGAGGCCAGGGTTGGGTCTCAGGGTGGGGGTGTAGGAGGAGCACAGTTGGGCGTGGAGAGCAGAGAGGACATGACCCAAGGAGCTTGGACCCTAGTTGGCAGTAGGGAGCCACTGATGGCCCTGGAACAGAGGAGCAGTACCCCTCAGGTGGGGGCGTAAGGAGAGCAGCCCCACAGAGTGCACACGGCATCGGGGGGGGGTGGAGCTTCCAGGCCCCATGGGCAGTGATGGGAGGTGCCCACGGTGGTGCTGAGAGGTGCGTGAGGTATGCGTGTGCAGCCCTGTGGCAGTGCTAACAGGCTGCGTGTATAGGCCTGCAGTGGTGCTGAAAGGAGCATGACGTGTGTGTATACAGCCCTGTGGCAGTGCCAACAGGCCATATGTACAGCCCTGTGGTG